ACACCTAAGTTTTTTTTTTTTTTCCGGACGAGTATAATTACTTATATTTATAAGATTACATATATATATATATATATATATATATATATAGAGAGAGAGAGAGAGAGAGAGAGAAAGAAAGAAAGAGAGAGAAAGAGATTGATAAATAGATTGATAGACAGATAAAATAAGAGAAGCTGATCAAATGGGAAAAATCGTAAAAACAGACAGGTGGCAATGGGGAACGAAAGAGTTTGATGATCTGACATCATCAGCCTCACAACATACGTTTCTCCCTTTTCCGTACAATTCTGACTTTGATGTGGCCTTTCAAAGAAATAACATCTGATAGAACAAACGGCTTTTGTCTCCTATACGAACACATCTGGCATTCTTCGTTCCATCAACGTTGCATGATCCTTTTTTCTGCCCAAAGACTAGATTTTTGTGTTTCCTTCCGTGTTGTGTAAGTGTTTTCTTTCGCTCGGCGCACAAAAAATATGAATTGTCAGTGGGAAACGCCGCTTTACGGTTCAGCCATTTTTGATTAGTTTTTTGTCCTTTTCCGAAGAGTTTATGCAGTTATCTCCCTTACCGTTTTTTTTCCCTTTTCTTTTCTCTGATAATTTACAGGACTATTCAACGCCATAAATCTCTAGCGTTGGCTCTAGAGTACATATTTAATCTCGCTGACCATGGCTACTGCTGCAAGTTCTATATTCACTGCGGCCTCCAATATTCGGAGTTGTGTAGCCTAAATATGGTTATGACAATGTCCAAAATGGTTGTATAGAAAATTACTATACGAATAATAGTTTCATACATTGATATCAACGGATAAAAATACAGTTGTAACAAACACCAATCTGGTACCTCTAAATTAAAAGATTGGAGCTATACAATCTTACCATTGTTTCCATGATTAGCCTTTTATTGTATTAAGCTTAATATATATATAGCTACGTGATAAAGGCACTTACATGAAACCCGATATCTAAAAGAATTCAACTAACGAGATAAATAAAAAAAGAAAAGAAAGGCTTTTGAAAATTGATAGTGTTTGTCGAAAGTACTTGGACAAGGAAAGATATATTCACAACACCGGAAATCATAAAAATGATTAGAAACATCGAAACCCTAAAAAAAATAATCAGTCAATAATCGGCATTTAAGCTAAATCCTGCGGAGGACTCTAGATTGGACCTTCATCACAATAGGTAGGGATGAGAAGATACCATAGGCAACATTAAACTACAGAAGAACTCAAAATTCATCCCTGCATTTAAGTATTGAATTAATGTTTAAGCTTACCTTTTAAAAGTTCAAAGATAATTCTTCTACATTATTTACATTATTCGGACTATTGCCCATATCTTTGTCGCCATATTTATTATTATTACAACGTTTCGGCCGTTGTACGCTCCGGCCTTGTATGAATTTCTGGGTATTATAAACGTAATATCTTCATTATCAATTTTTACTAGTGCTTATATTGCAATTTTTGCAGTTATCATTTCATGTTTTTACCAGAGCTTATTTTTTTACCAGTCGTTCCTATCAAATCGTGAAATAACAATTGTCCTGCATGTTCCCCAGTGTTTTGTTCTTGGTGCTACGCTGTTTTAAAACTTCATTAATGACTTTCCCGATAACATCACCTTTAACTTGGTATCTACGCCGACAACACTACGATTTACTCCTGCCTCAACGGTAAGGCTAATGAGTCAGACAAGGTCAAAATGGCAGCTGATGTACCCTTCACTGCCTTTCATCAGCATGGCTTATGCTATCCTCCAAGAAAGTGGCTCATTGCACCTTCTCGAGCTAACATTCTCCGCTTAAATGATGTGGAAAGTTTACATTGATTCCTTCGCTAGTTCAGCTTCTAAGAAAATCGGTTCATTGTATCGGGCGAGACAATTTTTCTCTCTTTAAGTCTACCATTCGTCCATGCTTAGAATATTGCTGCCATATGTTGTTCATTTTCATTGGACTCCTCTAAAAGATACAAAGAATAATCAGCAATGTTATTTGTCCTGATCTGGCATCTCGTCTCCGTCACTTGCCCACCGCCGTAAGGTTGCCTCTGTGGATTTTTTTATAAATGCGTTCATGGTAATTGTTCAGATTAGGTCTTAGCTATAGTACCTAGACTGTATAAATTTAAGCGCAATGCTAGACAGGTAGCGAGATCTCATCAATTTACAGTTGAGCTAACTAGATATGGCCGTAATTTCTATATTAAGTTACTTATCTCGCACTTCTCACTTGTGGAACACCCTTCGGACTCCATGCTTTCCAACCAACTTTAATCTACAAAAATTTAAATCCAGTGTCAATATTCGCTATCTACTGTCCTCCTGATTACTGTTTTTCTTTCACCTCATTACTAATATTCCTGTTCCTAATTCCTCGACACCCTGTAACCGCTTGCGCGCCAGTGGCTGTATTGCCTTGCTTGGGGTAATACCGATTAAAAAGGAGAAAATACTATATTTAGGATTCAAAAGTTCTTTAAGTCAAAATATTATTCAAAAATATTTGTTGTTATTAATAACCTAATCCAAAGATCTAAACACATTTCCTCATCCAAAATATTTTTCTTAAAGAAATATAAAACAAGCACTTATCAATAATGGCTACTCTGTAAATAAAAATCACAAAATATCTTACATAGGATACATCACATCCACACTCACACGGAGATTAACCTGTCACCTGTCGGACCAGTGTGAAATCAAATAACACATTAATAAGCAGCATAAGGACCCCAGTATCATTAGAGAGCTGGTTTATTTACAAGAAAAAATCATATTTACAACATTCTAAAAAAATAATGATTAAATCTAATGCAATGCAATATTTATCATTTACCAATTTATAAAGAAACAAATATATAGACAATGTTTCGTTCATAAATGTATAAACATTTACTAAATTATTAAAATATATGAATGAACTGTAAAGAAATCCTTATTTACTATTTTATAACGTTATAATTATATTGGCAATTGGCCAATGTTTTGCCAACCATTGCCAATAAAGAATATAAATAAATAGTGTAAATAACCAATAGAATAAATAAATAGTGTTTTATTTCCAGTTCACAAGAACAAAGAAAATGTATAAATTAACTCTGTTAATGTTATGTTTAGGGTTTATTTCAATTCTAATCATCGCTTTTTAAAACAATAAACATCACCGACAAGTTAAAGTAATGGTGGTGTCAACACGTTTGTTTGAGAAGCCGTGTTTTTGCGAGCACAAAGAGCCAGATTTGCCGGATTTTTATTATCTGAATTGGTAATAAATAAGTGGGAATTAAAGTTACTAATTATTTAATTTACATAATTGTCTGTAGTTTCTTATAATCATGTCGGCACAAATACTTGAAACGTCAGTACATCTTCATAGGAACTCTTTTGACATCAAAATCACTGAAAAGAAACGTGTTCACTGTAATCTTCGATTGTTTCTCTGCATCTTCCTCATATATAACAGATGAAGAAGAAATTTCAGACAAGTGAAATATGGTTCTACTGAAGGATGCTGACAATACCATGAACTGATAGGAGTAACGAGTAGGTTTTATGGAAAATGGAAACAAAAAAGACATATTTTAAATCGGGAAGAAACAATTGAAATTTCTACGGCATATAATGAGTGTTGTGGATTCCGGGATGAAATCCGGTCTCAAATGAATGACAAACGCAGGAATGAAATATAGCAAATAAATGTATTAACGTAATAATACAATTGGTAATACGGTTAGTAGATCCAGAAATGCGGTTAGTAGCAATAATAATAATAATAATATATATATATATATATATATATATATATATATATATATATATATACAGTCTGGGAAATTCTGTATCGAAGTATGAATTCCTTCTGAGTCTACGTGCTCGCAACTGTGACTCCTACAAAGCGGTTACCTCCACACTCTCCCTGTAACTGTCACTCTAACTGTATCACTCCCGGGTATTCACCGGCAACAGTACAAGTACACACTGGGCGAGTCCACTTGTATGAAAAAGGGGTGGACCCCTTAACAATGAGGAAAGCGGGTTTGGAGAACTTGACATATGCAGACTGAGGCAATTCAACGTGGTGAAAATGTTAGCAAGCTTGTCTCGCTAGATCATATTTTTGGCTTAGAAATCGCTATACATTAACCACTTCAGCGTGGTCTTATGGTTAGCCATCTTGTCTCGCTTTTTGTTTTTTTTTTTTCTGTTTTTACAGTAAGGTTCACCCTGTACAAGGCCCGGGGGCCCCTCAAGGTAAAGGGTTACGTTAAGGGGCAGTTTATACAGATAGGAGAGCAAGATAACGGTTAACTCTAGACTTGAACAGGTTAAGATTGTAGTGATCGGGGAAGCATCCTCTTGGGAGTCTTTTTCATAGGGTAGGGGTTCACGGGAAGAAGCTGTTTGAGTAAAACTTACTTCTCGCCGATGGAATACAGAGGGAATGTGGGTGGGCTTTGCTACAATGGGCGTGGCATGGCGGATCATAGCCATAAAGGTTAGGACTGGTGGAACCAAGGAATGTAGTTCGCACGACCACATTCCATGGACGTTCGACCTTCACTGACTGCCCCATACTTTCTGTCATGTAGTGGACTCCCAGGAGCGGGGTGCGATATAATATTGCCTCTGTTTGCCTCAAATAAGTATGACTCACAAGAGGCCCACTTACATTTAAAAATTAAAAAACCTGAAATCTGACAGGTCAACAAGAGGACAACAAACGACACACTTAAAATTAATGCAAAATTTATTTACATTGTATAGAAGTTATTCGTTTAGAGGAACATGAGCCAAGAATCAAGTAATGGAGGCCAAATTAAGTAAATTGAGGAAACTGACCGGTTAGATATGTCCGTGATAGCCGGAAAGAATAAAGGGCAAGAGTGTCGGAAGTAAGAATGGAGAGGAAAGCCCAACTAGCGTCCAGACAAAAATAAATGGGCACTTAAGTCTTCGTTCCTCCGTTCTGTAAACGGCGAGAAGTCATCGGGTTATATTATAAGGGAGGGTAAACATTAACTGGTCAGGCAAAGTACTAAAAATTTCAAGAAGAATAAATTCAGAGGTGCTCGAAATATAAAAAGTATAAAATGTAAAAGAAAGATAAAAACATGAGAGAGAAAATGTGGAAAAGAGAAAATAATGAAAACGAGAATTAGAAGAAAGAAAGAAAGAAAGAAAGAAAGAAAGAAAGAAAGAAAGAAAGAAAGAAAACGTTAGGGAAATACAATTAGAAAAAAGGTGAAACACAAGAAAACATTTTGAGGAAAGAGTAAACGAGTGAGAGAGGAAGGGTGAAAGAAAGACAGAAAGAAAGAAAGAAAGAAAGAAAGAAAGAAAGAATAAAGAAAGAATGAATGAAAGAATGAATGAAAGAAAGAATAAAGAAAGAAAGAAAAGAAAGAAAGAAAAAAGAGAAAGAAAGAATGAAAGAAAGAAAGGGAAAGAAAGAATGAAAGAAAGAAAGAAAGAAAGAAAGAGAAAGAAAGAAAGAAAGAAAGAGAAAGAAAGCATGAAATAAAGAGAAAGAAAGAAAGAATGAAAGAAAGAAAGAAAGAAAGAGAAAGAAAGAAAGAAAGAAAGCATGAAATAAAGAGAAAGAAAGAAAGAATGAAAAAGAAAGAGAAAGAAAGAAAAAAGTAAACAAAGAAAAAAGAGAAAGAAGGAAAGAAAGAAATGAATGAAAAAGAAAGAAAGAAAGAAAGAAAAAGAAAGAAAGAAATAAAGAGAAAGAAAGAATGAAATAAAGAGAAAGAAAGAAAGAATGAAAGAAAGAAAGAAAAAAGGAAACAAAGAAAAAAGAGAAAGAAAGAAATGAATGAAAAAGAAAGAAAGAAAGAATGAAAGAAAGAAAGAAAGAAAGAAAGAGAAACAAAGAAAAAAGGAAACAAAGAAAAAAAAGAAAGAAAGAAAGAAATGAATGAGAAAGAAAGAAAAGAAAGAAAAAGAAAGAAAAAAAAAAGAAAAAAAAAGAGAAAGAAAAAAGAAATGAAAAGAAAAAAAGAAGAAAAAAAGAAATGAATGAAAAAGAAAAGAAAAGAAAGAAAGAAAGAAAGAAAGAAAGAAAGAAAGAAAGAAATGAAAGAAAAAAAAGAAAGAAAGAAAAAGAAAGAAAAAAGGAAAAAGAAAAAGAAAGAAAGAAAAAGAAAGAAAGAAAAGAATGAAAGAAAGAAAGAAAAAAGAAAGAAAGAAAGAAAGAAAGAAAAGAAAAGAAAGAAAGAAAAAGAAAGGGAAAGAAAAGAAAGAAAGAAAGAAAGAAAGAAAGAAAGAAAGAAAGAAAGAAAAGAAAGAAAGAAAGAAAGAAAGAAAGAAAGAAAGAAGTAAAGGAAGCTGAAACAAAGAAAAGAAAAGATAAACGATCAAATGAGAAGAGAATAGTAAAAGAAAGATAAAAACATGAGAGAGAAAACGAAGAAAAGAGAGAATGATGAAAAAGAGAATTAGGAGAAAGAAAGAAGGAAAGAAAGAAATATGAAAATGAGAAAAAAAAGATAAGCGATCGAACTAAAAGCGAAAAGTAAGAGAAAGATAAAAAAACCTATGAGGGAAAAGGAGAAAAAAGAGAGTTTGATGAAAAAGAAAATTACAAGAAACAAAGAAAGAAAGAAAGAACGTTAAGAGAAATACAAAAAAAAAAAGGGTGAAACACAAGAAAATACTTTGAGGAAAATGACTGAAAGAAATCTAAGAGAGCGAAGACAAGGTGAGGGGATGAAGATATATATATATATATATATATATATATATGTGTGTGTGTGTGTGTGTGTGTGTGTGTGTGTGTATGTGTGTGTGTGTCTCTGTGTATATATATATATATATATATATATATATATATATATATATATATATATATATATATATACAGATAGAGTGATAGAGAGAGATAGAAATAGATGTATATCGAAATTTTCTTCTTCATCCAACTTTTATGTTCTTTAAAATCGATTCCCAAATGAAGAATTTAGGAATGATGGCATTAATTATTCTATTAAATTGTCGCTAATATGATACCATATGCCAGAAATAATTTATAATCTTTTCCTAGTGTAAAAATAATTTATTTTCACAATTATCTAAGATTAACTGCCTTAAATCACAAAGGAAATCTTCTTTTAAAAGATCATTCGATTTTGTGTAAGAAAAATTATAATTTACGTGTCATATTTGCACTGAATTAAGGAACTTCAAATGGATTTAAAGTCGATAGTTATACGAGTTGAGCATTTGCAAACTGCTCAAAGCTAGGCACTGAGCAAGGTGCAATCTCATTAGCAATCCCTGCTTTTCTTGCATCCGAAGCCTTGCTTTAGGGCAAGTACTCAGCGATGAAAAAAACAGTCTAGTGAATCCTTGAATTTTCATTGCTAATCATACTTGTAAGCTAACCGTACGTTGATGGCGATTTTTCTAAGCGTAGCTTTGCTGTGTCAAAATGGCGAATGCATTGGCACCCAGGGAGGATCGAGTCATGCAGTCGTAATTGATCTAACGAGATTAGTTTGCTAACCATTACGCCACATCGATTTGCCCAAATGATTTTCTAAGCGTGGTTTAGATACGGCACAAGGTTGAAAATGTGGAGCGTCCATTGAGGATCGAACTCATTATTCAGTCGTAATTAATCTAGCGATGAAAGGCTTGCTAACGCCTCCTCGAAGATGTCCTTATCCTCATTTATGAGCAAAATCTCGAGCGATAGCTCTTGAATATTGCATGCTATGATATGAGCTCGTACGATGCCAAGTTTTTAAACATATCACTGATATTATTTTTACCCGCCATAGCGCAGTCATATCATGTCGCCTCCAGCCTATCTTGATTTGTTCCAGTGACCTGGGTATGACAGTAAACTACATCCGGCAGCAAGCCGCTGATCAGGAGATCACAGATTCTGAAGAACGTGGAACAATCTCATAATTGCTATTGTCCACAGGTTTACATTGATCCGAGTTAGTAGCACCTGTTAGCATCCCAGCTATGAGTAAATAGTGATTCCCACAAACAAAAATCAAACAGCTATGAATGTATAAAAATACATTTTTACAGTAAAAATTCCAACAATAAATTCTTGTAATGAAATTATCAACAATACATAAAACAAAATAACAATCAATCCATTTTTTTAAGCGTTTCACCCCAAGCAAGGCGAGAAGCCACTAGGACGCAAGGGGTTACAGAAGATTTGGAGCAAGATCAGATAGGAGTGAAAGAGTAAAGGATGAGGAGAAGGATAGTGGATAGATCAAGGCAACTGTTGATGTCGATTGACATTACATTTCAATAGTTGAAGATTATAGCTCTCAGGGAAACTGGAATAGGGAAGGGAATTCCACAGGCGAGAGGTGCGAGACATGAAGCTATTGGAGTAGAAGAGACGGCTACATTTAGGAGTTTCGACAGTGAAGGGGTGAGAGCGGGATGCCAGCCTCGTAGGGCGCTTGAACTCATGAAGTCTGGGAACCAGCGGATGCAGCTCCTCGGAGCAGTTACCATGAAAGTATTTGTAAAAAAGACAGAGAGAGGCGACGGCGCGTCTGTGAGAGAGAGACTGGAGACGAGATGCCAGAACAGGGCCAATTATATTGCATATCCGCCTCTTGAGCCTATCAAGAACCCCGAGGCAAACAGAAGGAGCTCCAGGTAATAAAATGGCGAATAGTTCACTTTTATTGCAAAATGACAAACAATCCATTTTATAGTAAATTGACGAACAGTTTAATTTTATTGGAAAACGACAATCAACCCGTTTATAGTAAAATGACTAACTGTTTATTTTTATTTGTAAATATTAATCATTGCATTTTATAGTAAAATGACGAACAGTTCACTTCCATTACAAATTGACACTCAATCCATTTTATAGTAAAATGACGAATAGTTGCCACCATAATATTACGTTCAAAATATTTAGATTTCGGCATTAAATAACCCATACCGATGTTGATATGTCGCTAAACAAAAGCAACCAAACCAAACGAAACCAAACTTGATTTGTGGCAGGGAAAATATATCTAATTTTTTTTTTTTTTTCAATTTATGTAACAAAGTTAATTACATCACTGAAACAGGTACGGAAATTTTGATTCCGTTGTATAGAATCAAAAGACTCAAAAAATCAATTTCACTTTAACTGCATATTTCAACCAACCGGATGTCAGCATTGGTAATGTTTGAAGCCTCGTTATAGCGGTTTCTTTTAGCTGCCAACAAAATGATAAAAAAATCCGAGTTAAAATTCTTTTTTCGAAAACATTCCCGCACTCTAGTTTTAGACAGAAATTTAAGTATACTTCATGATGATTTTATTTTATATTTAAATCGTCAGGGATACCCGAGGGCAGATGAAACAATCATTGATTCTTCTTCCTTACTTACCATAGCTGGGCAAGAAGAGATGGATTCATACCAAGGTTATCGTGTCCTGGATATGATGTCAAACTACACCCGGCATCAAGGCCCCTGATCGGGAGATTTTGAAAAGCGTGAAACTACCTCTTAATTGCTGTTGTTCCCAGATCCATCCTGACCCCCGGGTGATAGAACCTGTTAGGGTCTCAACTATGGACAAATAGTTAATACCCAAACCATGACCAAAACATTATGAAAGTATAAAAATACATTTTTATAGTAAAAATACCAGCAATACATTTTTGTAACTAATAAAAATTACCAGCCATACATTTTGAAAAAAAATATTACCAGCAATAGATTTTGAAAAAATATGTTACCAGCAGTACTTTTGAAAAAAAATATTACCAGCAATAGATTTTGAAAAATATATTTACAGTACATTTTGAAAAAAAATATTAGCAATAATTTTGAAAAAATAAAAATATTACCAGCAATAGATTTTGAAAAATACATATTACATTTTGAAAAAAAAAAAATATTACCAGCAATAGATTTTGAAAAATATGTTACCAGCAGTACTTTTTGAAAAAAATATTACAATAGATTTTTGAAAAAATGTTACCAGCAGTACATTTTTGAAAAAAATATTACCAGCAATAGATTTTGAAAAATATGTTACCCAGTACATTTTGAAAAAAAATATTACCAGCAATAGATTTTGAAAAAATATGTTACCAGCAGTACATTTGAAAAAAAAATACCAGATTTTGAAAAAATATGTTACCAGCAGTACTTTTTGAAAAAAAATTTACCAGCAATAATTTTGAAAAAAAACCAGCAGTACATTTTGAAAAAAAATATTACCAGCAATAGATTTTGAAAAATATGATTTTGAAAAAAATATTACCAGCAAATTTTGAAAAAATATGTTACCAGCAGTACATTTTGAAAAAAAAACCAAAAGATTTTGAAAAATATGTTATGCAGTACATTTTGAAAAAAATATTACCAGCAAAATTTTGAAAAAAATATGTTACCAGCAGTACATTTTGAAAAAAAAATAAGCAGCAATAGATTTTGAAAAATATGTTACCAGCAGTACATTTTGAAAAAAATATTACCAGCAATAGATTTTGAAAAAATATGTTACCAGCAGTACATTTTGAAAAAAAATATTACCAGCAATAGATTTTGAAAAAAAATATGTTACCAGCAGTACATTTTGAAAAAATATTAACAATAGAATGTTACCAGCAGTACATTTTGAAAAAAATATTACCAGCAATAGATTTTGAAAAAAAACCAGCAAATTTTGAAAAAAAAATATTACCAGCAATAGATTTTGAAAAAATATGTTACCAAATTTTGAAAAAAATATTACCAGCAATAGATTTTGAAAAAATATGTTACCAGCAGTACATTTGAAAAAAAAAATATTAAACAAAATTTTAAATAAGTACTTTTTTGAAAAAAAATATTACCAGCAATAGATTTGAAAAAATATGTTACCAGCAGTAATATTTGAAAAAAAAATATTACCAGCAATAGATTTTAATGTTACCAGCAGTACATTTTGAAAAAAATATTACCAGCAATAGATTTGAAAAAATATGTTACCAGCAGTACTTTTGAAAAAAAATATTACCAGCAATAGATTTTGAAAAATATGTTACCAGCAGTACATTTTGAAAAAAAATATTACCAGCAATAGATTTTGAAAAATATGTTACCAGCAGTACTTTTTGAAAAAAAAATATTACCAGCAATAGATTTTGAAAAAATATGTTACCAGCAGTACATTTGAAAAAAAATATTACCAGCAATAGATTTTGAAAAAATATGTTACCAGCAGTACATTTTGAAAAAAATGCAATAGATTTTGAAAAAATATGTTACCAGCAGTACATTTTGAAAAAAAATTTATTACCAATAATAGATTTTGAAAAAATATGTTACCAGCAGTACATTTTGAAAAAAAT